CTTTTTCCATTTTATCTCTTAATATGTATATAAGAAAACTCACTCATAATTCTTAAATAGCTCATACAGATAAAAACTGGAGGTCCATTTATTTAAAAGTAATATTTAATTATTGCAACCTATCACAATATTAGAGTCTTCTGGTAGCCTTTCTGGCTCCATGAGGAACTCCTGTGGTTATTATGTGGGATTTTACTATCCTTTAATCAAAACTTTGTTTTGTGCATGTTGCAGAGGTTTATGAGCCCTCTTGTATATATATTTCATTTAGACAACTTTTATTTGCCGTGAAAAGTAGCTTGTGGAAAATCTGATTCCTTAGCTTTAGGCTGAAGGGAATTTTTTCTCTTTATTGTGAAAATGTAGCATACATGATCTTCAGGAAACTTTTAGTGACAGTGCTGATTTAGAATGTCATCTGTCAGCTGTCCAGAAGATAAGTTCCCATTTTAGTGTTAGCATCTATCAAACTTCCAGTTTAGGTAAAGAAAAGAAGAAGAAAAGGTGGAGGGAAGGGAGAAGATAAAAAGAGAAAATTTGTCTACTACAAAAATCTCTTGCTCACTCTCTATATCCCTACTGTCCCTCTCTTTCTCCCCCCTTCCCAATAGATAGCTGCTGAATTAGTCTGAGAGGAGAAGAGCTCTAACAGGAATAGTGCTGAGAAAAAGTGTCACAGGCCTTAAAGCTCCATAATACATTTGGCTCGGATGCTGACAAAACTGCAAATATTGTGACATGCTAACAATAATACAATACCAGAGGAAAGATCCACTGTCCTTGGGCATTTTAAGTCTACTGTGAAGAGCTGCAGTTAAGTTTGGATGCAGCTTGCTTTAGAGCAAGCACCACAGAACTTTTTTTTTTCTATTCTATTCTTAACATGTTCTTTATGCATTATAATATGAGCTGTTCTTTTATTTTGCTTTTTATTCTTTATATTATCCTTGGAGAAGGATGGTCTGTGCTTTTTTCGTAGTTGCACTAACATTTCAAATCCTGTATGGAAGGATATCAGAGTGTCTAAAAGCATATATGTTTCCACCAGCACATGCTAGGATTTGAAACATTGGTAAGGGCTTGACTAGCCATAAATACTTGGAAAAATCTTATTCATTGTCCATTTGAAAGGAATTGTGTTTCTATATAGTAGCTTACACTAAGATACAGCTAAACTCAGCTTGAAAAAGTTGAAACTCATTGTGTAGTTTCAACTTCTAAGCTATTTATACCAAAGAGCATAATACCTCTGATGATTAACCAAAGGATCATTTGCACACAAGTGCAAAATGTCAAGTTACAGAATGCTCTGTATGTAAACTGTAATCTTACCAGACCAGTCTGTCTCTAAATATTTTAGTTCTCTGGTTTAAGTATTTACAGTAAGACACTTATGTCTGATGTTTATCAAAACAATTTTCAGACCAGATTTTTCTATTTTACTTGGAATTTGGCTAGCTCAAATTTTAATTAAAAAAGAAATATAAACACAACATTAAATTATATAATGAAGTTCATTGGCTGCTGTGATTGTATCATATTCTCTATTGTTTAGTCATAGAGCTGCTCAGGAAACTTTCCATCAAGTGTTAAATATTATCCTTAGTCACTTGTACAACCAAGTTAGAATGGGTCATAACTTAAATTCATGGAGTTGCAGAGAAAATAACTAGACAAATTAAGCCATGATGAAACTTCAGCAGTTATTTTCTGTTTGGTCTAGTTTAATCTTCACTTCTAAAATGTGAGGCAATGCAAGTGATGAACTCTTGTGTTTATGCATTCATATAATTCATAACTTTACCCGTTGCTAAGGTTATCTGAAGCTCAGAAATAACGTTTTTGTGCAAGATACATTTCTTTCAGCTTGTGATGAGGAAATAGAAACAGCATGGTGAGGGCCTAAGTAACACAAAGAGGAAAGAGATACTTTCACATTTTTGTGCTAGTGGGATTCTAGTCCACCTATCTCTCCTCCCTTTTTGCTACATCACTAATCTGAGAAATATACTTTTACTTGGTATGTCTTCTGACTAGACATTCTTCTCATAACTATTGCCTTTTGAGAGACTTTCAGTTGCTGATTGTTAATGCCCCAGCTGTGGTAAGCATTTACCTGGATATTTCTTCATCTCTTTAGTCAGACCGATGGTCTTATATTTTTGTTAATTTCTTTGAGAAACATTTATTGTGAATGGCATATAGTAATATCTATAGCATGAAAGGCAGACACAATGCTATCTAAATACAGGACTGAAGCTGCTTAGTTCCCTCGGCAGTACATTGACTTGGTTTTCACAGGCAGAATATGCTGAGTTGGAAGGGACCCAAAAGGATCATCAAGTCCAACCCTTAGCCCTGAAAAGGACCCTTCTGAAGAGTCACACCATTTGCCTGAGAGTGTTGTCCAAATGCTTCTTGAACTGTCAGGCTTGGTGCTGTGACCACTTCCCTGAGGACCCTGTTCCATTGCCCAACCACCCTCTGGGTGAGAAGCTTCTTTCTAATATCCAACCTAAACCTCCCTTACACAACTTCAGGCCATTCCCTTGGGTCCTGTCACTGGTTGCCACAGAGCAGAGATCAGTGTCTGCCCTTTCTCTTCCCCTCACAAGGAAGGTGTAGACTGTGATGAGGTCTCCCCTCATTCTCCTCTTCTCCAGGCTGAACAGATCAAGTGACCTCAGCCACTCCTCATGAGACTTCTCCTGTAGATCTTTCACACCTTTACTGCCCCTTTTTGAACACTCTCCAATAGCTTAATATCTTTTTTATATTGTGATGCCCAAAACTGCACACAGCATTCAAGGTGAAGGTGCCTCAGTGCAGAGCAGAGCAGGACAATCCCCTCCCTTGACGAGCTGGTGATGCTTTGCCTGATGCGCCCTGGACACCGTTGGCCCTCCTGACTGTCAGGGCACTGCTGACTCAAATTCAGCTTGCCATTGATCAGGAGCCCCAGATCCCTTTCTTCAGCACTGCTTTCCAGCCTGTCCTTCCTCAGTCTGTTCATACATCCAGGGTTGCTTTGTTTTGTGTATGTTTGTTTCTGTGGTGTTGGGTTTTTTTCTTCTGTTTTTTGTTTGTTTGGTTGGTTTTTTTGTTGTTGTTGTTTTTTCTTTCTTTTTTGTTTGTTTTGGTTGGTTGGTAAGGTTTTTTTTCTAGTTGTTTTTTTGTTGTCTTTTTCACCATGAATGGAAATTAGATTAGGCTAAGAATTGAGATTTCTGTTAAGTTTAAGCAAGGAACAAGACTACTGTTTCTGTTGATTGTCAGTCCAAAAGGACAACTGACAGTTTTGCAGACCTGTAACTTGTGCCCTTTACAGCAAACTGTGTCAAATAAGTATAGTCAAGGGACTATGAACCACTGGACCTTCAGAAGTTCAAGTAAATCAAAGAAGCTTAGGATAATCCAGAGGAAGACTTACCAAAGCTCTGCTACCTTTGAAGATTGTCTATCATTGAGCCATAAGGATTTGATATAAAATAGAAGCTTTATTTTCTGGATTTTTTTCTGAGTCATTTATCTAAATCCAAGTTCAGTTAAGTAACTATAATTTTGATTTTTTTTTTAAAGTTTGATATTAAACCTATTAAAGTTTTTTTTGTCATTGGTATGCCAGGGGCAGCAAGAAAAAAAACCTGTAAAGAATGGAAGCTTTCATCTGATGTGAACTTCTGTTTCTTCTGTTAAAACTTGAATAGGAGAAAATTAACTCACTTCTTCCTCCACATTTTGATAGTCAGATTGGATGATGAGTAGCTTTTGTAGCTTACACTTGAATTAATTGAACCTTTGAAATGGAAATTTGAAAGCAAACCTGTATATTATTTAGGAAATACAAATTCTGTTTTTAAAGTAAGAATATCTTTTTAAGAAGGTTGGACTACCTAAGAGTTTAACAAAATGTGAGAAATAGCAATGTATCAAGACATATGCCAGGGAAAATAAGCATTCCAGTTGTACCGCAAATGAGCTATTGCCATTTTTCTTGATGACTGCTGTACCTAGAGAGTTCACTGCGTTGATAATTGCATACAATTTATTTTGATTGCTTATTCTGGTAGGTGACTAGGATTTTGTGGTCTTTTTATATAAGGAATATAAATTAATATCTTGTATGTCTAAAGAAGGTATAAGGTACTAAATCACACCTATATGCTAAAAAAGTCAATGCAACAATACTTGCATAATATTAAAATGTATATATGTTTAATTCTAGGAGTATGTGCAAGAGAGAAATTGCATAGAAAAAATATATATATATGGATGTGTATATGTATACATGTATATATACACATGTGCAGTTCTGTTACAGTAGACTTCTCCTAGTCCCTCTTCTCAGTGTTCTTGAATCTGGAGTGGAAGATTGCAATAATAATAATGCTTTAATACAGTTGCTTGGATTTAATTCCTACTTTACAAGATGTAAGCTTTCTAAGCAAAATGAATACCTTTATGCTAAGGACACTTTAGCCTCTTATAACTTAAAGATAGAAATAAAGTCTATACAAGAATAAGTTTCTTTTGCACTAGGCCACTGGAATTACCCCATAACTGCCTGGAATTTCAGCTTTTATTAAAGATTAAAGCTGTACTGTGGCCTGCTTTTCACTGTGTAGCAGCCCCTGTCAAATTCTGTAGTAATTCTAAACAATTTGGTTATCTGTTTCAGAAGTTAAATTTGATGATTATTCTTTGCACGGCAGACATGCACCTGCAATGTGTGCACACCTGCAGCATTTTCTTACAAATCTAGGCTAAATAAATATATTGAAAAAAAAATTTTAAAAAGTGACACCTGTAAAATCAGTTTTGGGACTGAGAAATCTAAAACATAGTTCCTTGCCCCTTGATTAGCTGTTTTTTCTATATCTATGGCTTCCCTGGTAAAAATGATGGATGAATGGATGGCTGTCCACATCAGTGTACATACACTCTCTTCCTGGTTAAATCCAAGTCACAGGGCATGAATTCTGCATGATGTAAATCTCAGTGCTGATTCTCCTCAATGTCCAGACTGAAGGACATATTAGAGCACCCTACAACTTCAGTGCTCCTACCTTTCCTTCCCAAAGCTAAACCCATGTGTATCAGACTCTTCTCTTACTGCATAGTGGTAAAGCACCAAGATCCAAGTGTATATCCTGATTGCACCACGATTTTTCCCTTTTCTCCTGATAGGAGTGAGACCCAACTGTTTACCAGACTCAGTCATTTTCTCTTGATGCCTTTCTGATCACAGCAGAAAGGATAGCAAAGCATGCATTCCTGCTGGTTGAAGAAAAGGCACCTCTTGTTCCAGTGGAATGTTAACAGTGGAGTTAACACTGTAATTTATTCTTCTTCTATCCTCAGTCTTTGCTCTGCCCTTCCACTGCTGTTTTGAATCTTATCCCTTCTGCCTTTCAGTTGAATTGTTTTTTGTCTGTGTAGCTTCAGTGCCACTGCTGCAATCATGAGATTTTGAACAGAAGATGAAAAAAAGTAAAGATTTGGAGGTAAATGAGATATAACATAAAGCAGGGGCTTTCTCTAGGTGAAAATAAGATACACCTCCTTTATTTAGCCCTCAGTAGAAAATTTTATATGATTGTGTTTTAAATTATAAGATACAGAAAGTAATACAGGTTATTAAGAAGGAGGATAAAGTATCAACTAATGCAACTATTGACGCTGAAAGAAATATCAAGTGAACGCAAATCATTAGTGTTTCTCAAAGGTTAGCATTGGGAGTAATTTTCTTAGATGTTTTCATTAATGACCCTTACATTAATAGTAGGGAAACATTTTCAGTATAATCTGCTGACAAATTGAAGTTGGAGGAAACAAAAGCAGACTAATATATTCCAGAGAGAATGTTTTGCTATTAGATTCTGTCTCACTAATTCTTTGTTTTCATTGTTCTTATTCCTTTTGTCATTTAGGTTTCTTCCACTGAGAGTTCCTAATCTGGAAATGAGTGACTAAGGGAAGGACTTAGTATACTGGTGCAGCTATAAACTCACATTGTGATGCAATTGCAAAAAGGGCAAAATGCAATTAGAACTATGTTACATTGGAAAGAAACGTTATTAAGCTCTTGATAAAAGAAATTCTGAAAAACTATGTTCAAGAAAAAAGAGGAAAGATAAACTAGAACTTGAATAGCTGCAAGTACAGAACACCGTCAAGAAAAAGACGAACCAGCAAACGACCTTTAACTGAAAAGGTTTGAATTGTTTACTTTAGCAAACCAAAACCAAACATCTCTTCTAAAGAAGAGATGTTAGTGAAATTCGCAAACATATCAAACATAAATACTAGGAAGAAAAGGGCTATCTGTCTAAAGGGCCATGCTGACACCCAACAAGTGGGTATTAATTTACCCTGAATAAATATAGTTCATAAACTGGAAGATTATGAGTTGTTTGAAAAAAGAAATTCTGGTATTTCTCTCTACCAAAAAAAAAATTATTAGGAGGAAAGCTGAGATTTTTTTTTAATTTTCTTTTTTTTTTTAATTTGGAGGTGTCTTAAATTATGTAAGGGATTTATATCACGCAGTGTGTTCCAGGGCAAGATGCTTAGGAGCCTGAGACATCTGTTCTAACTCAGTGATCTTATGATAATGGTCCTGCACTTAGCTACATTAGTGGGAGTAGGCCAAAGAACAGCTGTTTAAAAAGTTTTAGACAGGGAAAGGGATTTTAATAGGAATATTTAATTGTTCTAAATATCTGGGAACAACATTAGAGAATAGCATTTCAATTTATGAAATAAATTCCCATGCACATTGGCTGACATTTTCAGCAATACGCAAGCCACTTCTGCAAAGAGGGTGCAGCACCTTCAATTATTTACACTGATATTGAAAATGTTTTCATTATGTCACTCTTGCTCTGTACAGTGACAGTGATTCATGAAGGTCCATGGTATCCTTTTAGTTATAAACTGAAAGAAGTTAAAACATTTCCAGATTTAAAGCTTCATTGCTAATGATTGTATGTGTGTTCTCTAGCTGTGCATGACATACTGTTAAGCACTTATCCCTGGCAAGCAGTGTTGTGCTTTAAGAATGACTGCTCTTGTTGCATTGGGCATATCAGGTTTTGTGTCACTAGGCACTGGGTTATCTTGTCTTATAGAGTCCATGAGGGACTGTGCAGTTAGTAGGATTTAAGAATGCAGCATGGACAAAGTAATGTAGGTGATAGTGTAGCTGGAATGCATCAGTACAGCAGTACTATTTGGAACCTAAGTCTTTGATCACATGGGTTTTTCAACAAAGCAGGAGAGTGCAATTCTGTTGATTGAAAGGAGAAATAATAGGAAATATTAGACACAACTTTGAAATCAGTCCCAAAGATTGTTTGAAGCCAGAAGGCAGAGGTTATATGTGCCTGGATATTGAAAGGGACAGAAATAAGTGTTGGTTGTGTATTTTGTTGACACTTTCCTCCTGAAGGCTCCAAGGAACCATCTGAACATAGAAATGAGGCTTCCACAGCCCCTTTTGAGACTCCTCTCACTGACTTTATTGACACTTTCTTTCCATTATCAGTGTTGGTCTTTTTGTCTCTCACTGGGCACTCTTTCTTCCCTTCACACCACTGGGCTCCTCACTATTTGCCCTTTGTCTGTTACTTTTACTGTTTCTTATTACTGTATATTTTTTTTCTGTTCTTTTTACTCATCTTCAAAGACAGGACAGAATGGACTGAAACTGAGAAACATTGCAGAAATTATAAGTATACCAGATTTTTTCTTCAAGATCTTTGCCTTACAGACAGGATCTTCACAGATGTGTTGACACTGATGGGTGTGGAGTTCCAGCAAAGATCCACTTCATGAGCCTAAGATGATACCAGTAACAAGGCAGCCTAATCAGAAATCCATTGGTTAACATGGTCTGAGCATCTTTAACTTCTTGGGTTACTTTAGTGGCAGCAGTGGGACAGCTTCCTAATGAAACTTGATTCTTCATCATGAAGAGGTAGGTGACATTTTGATTACTCTAGAGTTTCATAATGCATATTTTTCCAGTGGTATTTTAGGCAACTTATTATGTAGATGGAACAAAATAATATGAAGGCATGGAGGCTTAATCATGATTTGCAAAGGAGACAGCTCTTTGGGGAGACAAATTTTTATCTCTCTATTTCCTTTTTTTTTTTTTTTTTTTTATGCTTTGTTCTTGAACCAAGTGAAATTTCACTGCTGGAGTACAGAAAGAAAAATGTACCCTTGTTCTATATTTAGATTTTTAATTTTGATTTTTAAGGTCAATTTTTATTTTTAAATATCATAGTGATTTCCAAATATAGAAATGGAGCAAAATGAAGTACACACGAAAAGGAAGAGTACTGGAAAATCTTGCACTCCTCAGTTTTTAAACAAAAAAAATTGATGGACTAGATATAGAGGCAGATAGTGCCTTAGCAGTTCAATCATTTTATCTCTCATGTGCCTATTGCTGGAAAGGAACTACTGTCCTTCTTTCAGTTTTGCCAGATCCTAGTAGTCCTTCACCATCAACTCTGCATCTTTCACCTGCTCTTCAGGAGTTTTCAGAGGTCATTCAAACAGTATTTATGTTAATTTTTAATTTTTAAAATATAAGTATTTTACTTAATAGCTTCTTAACCATGCTCAAGGGAAAGATAATCAGTGCAAAGTCCACATTCTAATGCATACTTTCATTACTGATTAATTCTAATGGTTTGTCCCTGCGTCCTTAATATTTTTGGTAAAAATTATTATAACTTGTGATTATGTGGTGTGGAATCTCAGTATATAAACTGTCATCCATTTACTGTGATTTCTCTTATTTTACACCTTGAGAGAGAATGGGAATAGATGAAAAAACATCCCTATCTGTAGCACAGTCATAATTTCTTGGAGTGTAGCAGTGTTAACTGGGGAGACTAAGAATTAGGAGCTTTATTTTCCATGTGACTATTTCATCCTTGCCCAGTCAAGCATCTTGCTGCAGCTATGTTGGATGCACAGGAGCTTTTGCTGAAGCTCAGCCTTGGATAGCTAAAGGTGCTGTATCTTAAAGCTTCCAGCATGCCTTAGGGGAGAAGAGTGTTGCTTCAACCATTTATTCCTTTCTCTCTCTCTCCTGCTGGTACCTTCCATCTCCTTGATGACAGTCAGACTAAAGTTTGCTTCCATAAGTATAACCACTCCTCAAATGAGACAATCATTAAAGCCTCATGTTTTCTCTGAGTTTATCTGTTTTTAGCAAAGTTTAGAATGAAGGATGGAGGAACACCCAGGAGTCCATTCAATGCTTTTTTGGCAAAGTCGGAGTATGGCAGTGTGACCTGTCTCATTCCTCCTGCAATAATTCGGCCTTTTCTTAGGACAAGCAATTTCTGTTGATCTTGTTGCTAAGTTTAGCTCAGCTGGTTAGAGCGTAATGCCAAGGTTGCAGGCTTAATCCTTGTATAAGCCATTCACTTAAAAGTTGGGCTCAATGCTCCCTTCCAAATCAGAATATTCTGTAACTTCTGTAACCTCATATTTCAAAGCAATAAATTTCTGGAGTTTACAAGAATACAGCTTAATGATGCAACATTTCTCTAACATTTTATTTAAAAATTCTGTGTATATATATATTTAAACAGAAATTTGCACATTGCACTGTCAGCATCATAAACATCTGTTTCTGACGGTGATATTCAGATGGTTGCTAAATATTTTTTTCTTCTTCTTTTTTTCTTTATTTTTTCCTTTTTTTTTTTTTTTTTCAGAAAAAAAAAGGTATTAAGGGGACAAACTAGCATTTGATACAGCTCCAACTGTATCCAACTACTAGATGCTGGAGTTTGAACTGAACTATTTATTATTAACTGGTCTCATTATGTTCCCAATTTGTTTTGGAGTTCTCACACTAAATCAGATATTAAAACATCTGTTACTTGCTGATCTACTAATGTAGTTTTGGGATTTGATTTCTGTTAGCTCTTATATGGTGTAGAATTTCTTTTGTTAGCTGAATAAGTAGATACCGAAACCCATAAAGATCTAAAATAGTTTTGCAGTGTTGGAGGTGTTATTTAGCTAGAAAAATAACTATTTTAATTAAAAAATCTATAATAAAACAGTTCCATATCTCTTAAGACATTCTTTTTTGAGCTTCAATATAATTGAGTAGAGATTGATTCAACACATTTTTTATTTGAAAAAGTATCTTTATTGCCAGGATCTCGTAATAACACATTTCGTCATTGTTAGTAAATGAACATTGCTTCTTTACAATCAATTCAATGTCCTATTTAAGACTCAAACAAAATGTTTCAAAATCCCAGTGGACAGAACTATCAGGACAAACTTGGTCAAAATGCATAAATGGTCACAGAAACTTACTAATGTTCTCATTAAATGAATACTGTTGTGTAGCTCAAACCAATGAGTTAATTGCATCCAATCCAAAGGTGAAAGTTATCTGTTTTGGTGATGTGAACCAACTTGCTGTTCTTTTAAATTTATGTTTAATAAACTAGTTAGTGGTAGGATATTTTTGCAGGATGGGCAAAAATGAGGCACAGATAAATTTCAGCACGCATGCAAGAAGGAGAAGCAGCAGAATGGGTGGGCTAGGTAGCAGGGTACAGCTTCAGCAAGGAAAGTTTCAGCTGGAACTCCTGCTGGAGGAATTTTGCAAAAACAGCTGTGGTGTGTAAGTCATTAGCAGAAACCAGTCAAAACCTCAGAGTACATGTTCGGAATTTATCAAATCACATGAAACTTTAAAGTGTGTCTTAGGATCCTATATTCAAGCTTAATGCAGCTTCAAAATGGGTATTTTTGGTGCTGATAGCAGTATTGCCATATTGTTGCAGGGACCTGTGTCTTTGAATAATCTTGAATACCAGTGTTTCCATAGAAATTTGTCCTCTACCCTTGCAGGGCAGCAAATCACTGCACACCTAGTGTGTGGAGTGATGCATGTCGGCATAGTAAAGTTTGTTTCCTGTGTTCAGGACTTAAAATATTTTTAAGAACAAAACACTTTTTATTTTGCATTGTAACTCTATGGTTTTAAATTTAAATTACTAATATCTCTTAGGGAGAACCTGGAAGCTTAGTAGGGCTTGCTAATGGTTTCATCAAGAATTGTTTAGAATAACGGAAGATGCTGTCAATTATTTTTCATTTATCTAAAGGGTAAACAGTATTTTTTCTACTACATTAAGTTCTCCACTCAATTTGTAAAATAAAATTTATTTTAACTTTAAGACCTAAATAGCAGAGCAATTATTCTTGAGTAAAAGGTATTCAAAAACAGACTACGGTGAAGTATAAACAAAAGTCAGAACACCCCTTGACAAAGATTTTAATATTTATTTTATTTTGTTTGTCCTTTTTGTTTTAGGAATAATAATCAGCTATAAAATGTGAGGAAAAATGAACTAACAAACCCTCCTTTCTCTTTGCATAATATGGTTGCTTTGTCTTGATTTATGCATGAGCTATTCTTTTTTTTTCCTGTTTCTAATATGAATAAATATTTCATGCAAAGATTTAATATCTCATTTTAGTTGAATTCAAAGAAGGTAAAAATTCTGTATCTGTGTAGGTATATATATTTTAAAATTTTAAATTCCTGTCATTTAAGCTGTTAAATTAAGTTACTGAAAACTTGGCTTTGTACAAAGATATAAAAGATTCAGAAATGCAAGTCAGTGGCAAACTACTGAAAAAACTAATCTATGACATACGAAATATGGAGTTTATTAAATATGAATAACTGATGTTTTTTATATTATTTAAGAATTCTCATATAAATGGAACACTAGGGATTTATTTTTAAATAAGGCCTGAAAATGGTACAAGGTGCTCATTGTTTAAACTGTGATTAAATGTTTAATCATAGTGCTTTCTCTTAGCAAATGTGAAGAAAAATAAAAAATATTACTTATATCTTTCTTTTTACGGTTATATCACAGACAGTAGGCTTTCTGAAATTTGTTGATTTTATGCCTTTTGGAAGGATTTACTGCAATATCAAATAAATTAGGAATTCTGCCATTCTAATTAGTGGCATTTTACATCTGTTTTTTTCTTGCAGTGTGTAAGAGAAGGAACACACTCATGGATGCTTAGGTCCCATGGGATATAATTTGGGCCACCTGGTCTTTGAGCTAGAATCCAGAATCCTGTGCTAAGTCCTTGGGCTCAGAGTGAAATTTGGGATTAAGACACCTCAAAATGTGACATATAACAGCTGGGATGTTCATGCATCAGTTTATTTAGTCTTCATACTGCTTTTGGAAGACAGGTGAGGTAAATTACTTGTCTGGATTAGGGACTGCTGCTATCTTCAATAGAGAGGGTTAGTATATAGGCCTAGAAAACTGGGAGCACACTTTAGTATTCTCTTTATCTGGAGAAGATGAAAAAATATCTCTGTCTATGTGGTATCATATAAGAAAGTGATTGACTTTTATGTCCACCTGCAGCATAGAGAGGCTCAGACAGACAACACACAAAAAAACAACACAGGTTACACTGTGTACTTGTTTTGTTGTCCTTGATTCTGCAGACCTTCCTTTATTTTGTACTAATTATTGGTTGTGCTGCAAAGACAGTTCCAGGTTATGACTTCATTTCTTTATAAACCTGTTTCCAGCTCTCTGTGGAGTTTAGTATTACCTCTTTTTATAAAATTTCCCCAAGTTTTCCAAAACGTGATATTTTTCCCACAAAGTAAAATGTGGTATGTAAGATTGCTGTTATGGCGCTTTTGTCTTACAATATATATTACTAATTTCTGGGAGAAAAAAAGGCATGTATAGATAAATGTTACATACTGAAGTGGACGATTCAGAGCCCCAGAAACTACCTAGAATCCTAGGCTGGAACACACAGAAAGTGCTGCAGGAAGCAATGAGTTAAACTTAATGTTCAAAGGAAAATGTTGTGTGTATTCCTGGACCAGGTTACAAGGTAGCATTGAAAGTGTTAATATAAAATGTTACTTCCAACTGTACAAAATGTCATTTAAATGCCGAAATACAGTGCAAGACCTGCAGTAGTGCATATGGGAGCATCATGAATAGCAAATGAATCTATTTTGATCCTTGATGGATGTTTCAATGAATAACAAATGAGTTCTCAGTGATTGGACAGGAAAGTATTAGTGATGGTTTTTATTTTTCGCTAGCATAATAAAGGAATCATCTTAAAGTGCTGGTACCTGGCAGGCTGTGTTTAGTTGCCTCAGTACTGATGGTTGGGCTGTCACCTTTTCTTTAACTGTGCTTCCTGGTATTTTATAAAGAAACAGCATTTGTGTTCTTTCAAGCTCTTATTTCATTTTTTCTTTTATTTGATAGAAAGGAATTAACCTATATTTGCAAAATATATGTTGAATATATATTTAATATGAATGCATTAAAATACTCTCCAAAAGTCTCAATTCCATCAAGCCTTATTAAAACTTAAATTATACATTCAGACCTTTCATTTTGAAATACTAGGGAATAATTCTCTTACCACCATCCCCTTGAATAAAACAAAAAAATGAGACTGCCTGGTTTAGTTTGCAGAATAGAAAGAGACGGTAAAGACACAGAATTTTGTTCTCAGACCTCAAACTGAAGCAGAAATATAATAATATAGCAGAAATATAGTTTGGAGCACTGTCTGAAAGTCCTACTGTCTGATAGCCAGGCATTTCAGTGATATGTGGTGATTTTTATTAGAAATGGTGGCTCTTTTTTTGTTTGTTTGTTTTGTTTTGTTTTTGTTTTTTGTTTGTTTGTTTGTTTGTTTTTGGTTTTCTTATTGCCAAATAGAATGACTTGACTTGTACTTGTGCTTGCTGTCAGATTGGCAAATACAAATCCTTGCTTATAGAATTTGCTAGGTGTTTATATGGAAGTCGATTAGTATATCAAATTGATGCTTTTAAAATTATTTTTGTAAATACTTAATTTTAATTTTGTTTGTTTCACTTTCTAAGACATATTCTTCACAAGCAATTTGCTTTTGTGTTTTCATAATCACTTTAAATCAAGAACTGTTTGGCTTGCTTGCTGATTTTTGGTGGTACATAACAAGAAATAGCTTTTGGCTAGCCAGTTGTATGATTTTTTTTCAAAATGGATGCACACTTCTTTTGTTTTACTGTTGAAGAGAAAAAATGATAATATACCTAAAACTGAACATATATAAAATTAGCAGCAGCAGTGGAGAATGTTATCCTGTTTTCTTCTAGTTGTATTGTTTATAAAGTCACATAGTAGCTGGAAATTAAATGCTATGTGGTTACATTAATAGTGAATTCAAGATTAATTAATTTTTTTTGACACATAGATCTAATTTTTTTTTTTTTTTTTCAAAATAATCCTTTGCACTAAGGGACCATTTTTGTAAGTCAAAGGTTTTACTGGTTTGGTCATTTTGCTGTCCAGGTGCAAAATTCAGCTGCAGCAACATCCCTTAATTGCCAAGCAACCAAGAGGAAAACATCTGCTAGTTATGAATATGTTCTGAATTGGTAATCATAACAAAATAATACCATGCCTGTTCAGCTGAAGAGTAAGTCAGAAGGCTAAAGGCTGTTGCATGTCACTCATGTTCACTTTGGCTTATGACTGCCTGTAAATTTGTTACCCATTCTGTCTCAATAAGACACAACATATAAAATAATTAAAGGGATATAAATTTAAATGTTGGCAGATGTAACAAAAGCATACAGATATATTTTATGACCTCTTTTCATGAATTCATCATTTTTCATTCTCAAAATTACTATTTTCTATGACCAGATAGCAAATATAATACAGTGTGTGTTGAATATACATTAAAGGCTCATGACCTTTCCAGAGGAATGAGTTCTACACTATTAAATCTACTGATTTTTTTCTTTTTTGTAAATAAAAGGATTTATTATTATCTTCTTGTAGTTGGCTGTATTTCCACTGTAGTCAAGGTAATTACACCATATTAAAATTAGTTTGAAAGCAGAGTCAGTTCCAGTAAGTAAAGGAGCTGGTGGCATCAAGATGCATGTACTGAACTTTTAGGCTTTTCCTCTGTCATGAGAAGAGAGTCGATGTAATTCCAATATCCTGATCTCACCTCATTTCCCCACATTCTGACATACTGCCTGAGTATAACATGTGCTGTGTAGTCAAAGTTTTGTCTGTTTATTCTTTGTATAGAAGATATGTGCAGGCTCAGTGTAACTTTACTCACAGTTCCTGTATCTTACGTACTTGTATTGAATGCAAATAGGGAGTAAATTTAATTTAAAGTAAGACCCTTCCTGTTTCATGCTTTGAAGTGTCTTCATCAGGAAAAAGTATGTGAGAGAAAAGCTGGCAAGATGTTTGACAGCACTGTTTGTACAAAATGCCTTTAAAATTGGTGAGTTTTGCCCACTTGCTCTGAATTGGCAGCATGGCTGTGTAGAAGCTACGCTAAGGAAATCTAATCCTCCTCTTTTGTCTATTCTCCACCTCTGTTGCATTAATTCACCCAAACACAAGCTCATAAGATATTTGTTCGTTGTTTTCCACTCAGGGGGATCTGACATTTGCTGTCCTCTCGTGTACCTGATGCCTCAGGTTCTTCTGATTTCTTCTATGGTTTAACCATTAGGATTTGCTATGTCTCTGCTTCTGTGCTGACAAATGAGTTTCATACTTTGCTGCATGGACTCCCAAATTTGTACTGTTGTAGCTAAACATAAAAAAACATCAACAGACTTGACTACATCACAGTCTGAAGGAATATGTGCCATTTGGGAGCAATATTCAGGTTCTTCTATGTCGGAATTACTAAAATCCTTCTAATACCAGTTTGCGTTTTTGATATCTCCAGCTCTCGTTCTTTTCTGGCATACTTGAGTATCAAATTAAATAAGAAGCTTCCAGGTATTCTAACTTGCTGGTCCCTTTACCAGATTTCCTTCATTAGCAGGATGGACATGTTCTATAGGTGACATAGCTAAAACCAGTAAAGACAAGAACTTGTTTCCAGTTGGTAACACCAGCATGTCTCTCTGGCATTATAAACATTTAGCATACTTTCAGGAAGCCTATGGAAATTTGAAAACTTTTGCTTCACTAAGGTGGTCAGATCAAGGAAAACTGTAGTGTTCAGAAAGTCATAAAGAATAGGTGAAACTATAAGCAAAATGCAAACCTGATTGGCATTTACTCCATTAGCCCTTGTCTGAGATAAAAAAAAATCTCTAGTCACTAACTATCAAGGTATTAAGAAAATCCAGGTGTAGCCTTGGAGAGGGTCAAACTGTAAAAGAAGTTGATAGTGGGTAAGAAAGCCCAGGATCAGGACTGTCAAGAGGCAGAGGGCAAACTCTGGTGTTTCAGGGATCCATGAATGGATCCACAAATGGAGGGTCCTGAGGATCTAGAGAGTGAGGGCATATATTTTCTTTAGTGAGTTTCAGCCTCGATAGTTAGGGAGGAGGAAGGGGAGTTGGTTGTCTGTACTTAGGTT